TGGTTGGTGGTAAAGTGAGTTTCACCGCTTAAAATTGGAATCCTTTAAAGGAATCCAAAATGGTTCAAGGTACAGTCCTAACATAAAGAGAAAAGCTTTGCTTGAATCTCTCATCATGGCCATATCCGAGAATTTCTATATTATAAGTGCAGCGTAGCAATGCTTCAGCTAGTCTCCTCTAGAAAATACCATTTTCAGTATGAGCATGACGAGTAGTTGAATGCAGAAATAGTGAACAAAATTTTGGAAAAGGTGCTAGAGGTTTGGAGAAGATGATTTCTGGCTTTTCACGAGGGACCTCAGGAATGGTAGAACTACGTTATACTACAAAACTATACTTCTCCGCTCAGCCTCCCTATGGTTCTGTCTTGAGCTAGGGAAAATTTAAGGCTGAGGACTCGCTATTGCGTAACAATGACATGGACAAAGGATGTAATCGGGAAGTATGCAGGAAAACAACTTCAGAACAGCCGTAACACTTGAAACCAATCACCCAAAATAAAGTCAATAGATGTAAACACACACATCACAAGTCAACAACGAGCCTTATGTGTGGGATAATTGGCTAACCCAGCGAGGGATAAATAAGATCTCAGCTAGGTAAACTTTACACAGAATAGGAACCAGGCCTGGCCAGAACTCCCACATATCCCCCAAGGTAAAAATAATCGGAGAATGGAACAAAGTGATTCGTCGTGTCCTGAAACTTTGAAGGATTCTTTGTGCAAAATTGTGATTACCGTAATTTGCAACACTACGCACTAATACACACCGTGCATCTTCTTTCTTTCGCTTTTTCAGTAAACAGTCTCTGTCGTTTTCGTAAGATGCCTTTCGGAATAATTGTAACTCTGTTCTCTTGCCATGCCTCAATAGTCAGTAGAAATAGAATTTTTGACCCAAATCCTCGTCCGGTGCGGTCCGCTCTTGCTTTAAGTATTGACCTATCGATAGTCCAGTCTTAGGGCCAGCTGTATAGAGTGGATCGCAATCGAAGGAGTCTTTGTGATGGAAAATCATAAACCAGGATAGTAGATNTACGAGCTTCAAAAAAATTCCGAATGAGTGGAACATCATACAGCCCAGTAACTCGGAACTTTTCAGGTTTCCTACCCCTACTATGCCGCATTCAACAGCTTGTTGGCGAAAATGGAGCTCATCAAACGAGTTTACTTGAGCTTAGCCAGAGGTAATTTGGACCTTGAATTGACGAAGGAGGAATTCTTGCAGGCCACTCAGAGCTATGCTCAGATCACTCCTTATGAAGTAAGTCTGCAGTTTATTCGAGTCCATTATTTTCCTCTTTCGGTCTCATGTTTCAAATTGGTTTCTTTTTCGTTTTGATTTCTCGCACAATTTCTTTCTGAAGATCTATCTTTATTTTTTTATATTGATTCATTCGCCTGCTTTATCCATTTCAAATGCCTACGTTCGAATCTCAGGTAGGCAAAAGGGGGTATTAGTGCATGTAGATATGGGTAGAGGTGTGGCAGCAACAAAGAGGCCCCAGCCACATACGTGCTTGATCTGCGAACTGAGTAGCAAGAACAATGCAACAACGGGAACGTTTTCTTGACCCATTGAGCATTTCTTGAGCAGAATGCAAACGGATGGGTGGGAAGGCTGATGGGTTTCGAAGCTAGTAAATATAAAAGAAAAAATGAGAAGCCATTTTTAAGAGAGCATTCAGAAAACAAAAGCTAAGAATCATGATGGGTGACCGTCTCATGGGTGAACGGGTGACAGAAATCTCAGGATTATTAAGTATATTACAGAAGCATTTCTGTAAAATGGGCTACGTGCTACCAACTATGGCAGCAATAGTGAGGCAAATATGACATCGCTATAGATAGGGTGATCATTTGAGCTCAGTATCGACGTGTCTTCAATAAAGGCATCCTGCTAAAATGTGGCCCAACCTATGCCGCCTCAGAGAACGATACTTACTGCGGGGGGTGGTTTAGATTGACAACGATGCCTCAAAAAAGAATCACGAGTCGCTCCATTGCACTGTTAACTAAACTGGAGGGGATGTCACCACAGTTTAGGGGTACCTCCTTGCCCGCTTTCGATATCTGTGTTAGTATGAGGTATTCGCCATATCTAAGAGCAACACCTTAGATGAACAATAATTAGTGCAGTCGTAATAGAATGCTTCCATATTTCGGAGTTGTTTAACACGATGAAACCTTTGGGGGTTACAAAAAAGAGTATGTTTTTCAAAACCGAAGGTCGAAGCGTAGCACATCATGAAATCTTTGAGAGATCAAAGCTAGCACACACATCACTCGAA